CTTTGTGATATTCTCCCCAGGAACAAGTTCTTCTTCCAAATTAAACTTTAAATACTCATTCAATTTCAGGATCACAATAAACAATATGTTAATAAAGTCAAACATAATATCGAAGAATTCCAACTCACGACATTAGTCTGCTACAATATACCCACAGAATATAGAGAACACGGACCCAATGCAACATACTGTACATCTGTAACAAACTATACTCAACGGACTACAGATAACTCGTTACACCGCTTAACAGGACATACATGTATAATGACTATGTTTCGATAAAGATAAATAAGAAAATAAGAATGTTTTTGTTTTTTAACAAATTTATAGGTGTCAAGACCTGACTGAATTACTCAGAATAGGCAAACTGTACTACAAGCTTTGCCAATAATTTAAAAAAAAACATTCTTATTTTCTTATTTATCTTTATCGGAGGAAACTGCAGCGGGCCATAACGGGCAGTCCCATTTACACCCAACCCCATTGCTTATATATCCATCCAACCTATGTTTGAAGCTATCCAGCGTATTCGAGTTAATGATGATGTTTGGTAACTTGTTCCACTCATCCACTACTCTATTTCCAAACCAATGTTTACCTATCTCGCGCCTAAATCTAAATTTGTTCAATTTAAAACCATTGTTACGAATTCACTCCTAGTCGGATAGTTTGAGTACCTTTGTTATATCACCTTTGTTTAACCCTGACTTCCATTTATACACCTCTATCATATCGCCCTTCACTTCACGTCTCTCGAGGGAGTGCAAATTAAGATGCCTTAACCTGTCTCTGTATTCAAGGTTCCTAATGTCCGGGATTAGTCTTGCCATACTCCTCTGAATTCTTTTTAATTTGTCAGCTTTGTTTCGAGCAAATACGCATTTTTGTCTTCGTTTAAAATTCCTACTTATCATTACACCTAAGTTTTTCTCACAGCCTTAACATCGTTGTTCACCTCATATCTGGTTTCTCTGTTTACATCTCCTAGACTAAGTACTTAAAATTTGTCCACATTAAATTTCATCTGCCCTTTTTCAGACCACGCGAAATTTTTTTTTTTTTTAGATTTTCCTGTAGTTTTGCGGAGTCCTCATCAGATTTAATTACACTCTATTTTAGTGTCAACAAATTTACTTATGTTCCTTCTCTACGCTGATATCTATGTCGTTTATGTATATAACAAATAGTAGCCTAATGGCCCAAGTACTGAGCCGTTAATGCTTATTCGGTGTTCCGTCCTGTAACCACACCCTAATCCATTTTAGAATATATCTTCCAATTCCGAGCCTCCACTTTATGTACTAGTCTTTTCGGGGACCCTGTCCAGCGCTTTGCTAAAGTCGAGATATACCACATCACAATCGTGTCCATCATCCACTTATTCGAAAACAGTTGAAAAGAATGTTAATAGATATGTCAGACATGAACGCCCACTAGTGAAGCCATGCTGGGAATCATTGATCAAATTATGTTTCTCGGAGTGATTTCGAATCGAGTTTGAAATTATTACTTCCAGTAATTTGCCTACAATTGATGTTAAACTAATTGGACGGTAGTTTGAGGATAGTGAGCTATCTCCCTTCTTGAAAATCGGTGTCACATTCGCTGTCCTCCAGGATAGCCATATAACAATACCTTGACACAAAGATCTAACAGAGTGAACCCTCCAGCTAATGCCGACGGTGGTCCTGCACTGGAGGGTGTGAGCACCCGCCCTCCTTAACCAGCCCCACACACAACTAGAGGGCCTACACGTGGACTATACCTTTACTCCCTGCCTGTCCCTCACAACGGGACTTCCACCAACAGGCTTCCCGGTCTGGTATAATCCACACTCCATCACCTACTCTGCCGGAAGGGTTTGGATACTCTCGTAAAGCACGATACCTTTAGTGAAGTTCACACCACGACCTCCTGTCACCCTCTGCTGACCAGTCTGTCGGAAGCCACAACCTTGACTAGCAGCAGAGATCTCAACCAATCACGAGAGTTCCCTATATTACGTCATGAGTAACTGCTAACCGCTAGTTTCCATCCTGCTCATGACACTCTTCAGGCGAGACAGGAGGGCGAACTGTGAAAACTGCTGGCCATCTGTCTGTCTGTCCATGTGTGTCTGTATTAGCCCCCGTGGAACAAGACAGTAATACTTATATACATGTGGGCTATATACATTGTTTACATCACCCACGATAATGAAGCAAAGTGTCCAGTAAATACTTCCTAATACTGAAGCAAGTGATGTGTGTCAAGTAATTCCTTGTCCTTCGTATGACCTCGGCGCACTGCTGTCCAGCTCTGCACTCCACTGCCCAGCTCTGCACTCCACTGTCCAGCTAATGTCATCAGTATTATTCACCGGCTGCATCAGTCAGTCATTCTCAGCCTCTCGTCCACATCACATGTCTGGTCACCAAGCTCGTTACACTTGGCTTCAACTCCTTTAACAGTCACAGCTGATAGTGTTAGTTATGGTGATATCACATTTAATTGAGTTAGACTATTTTCTTAATAAAAGGAGAAAAGACCATTTGGGTTCGTAATTTGACTCTAAACATTTTATTTCCGTAACTTCCAGTGTACCCACAGTGATGAAACAACAGGTCAACGGAAGTAGCAAGTCGTTCCATGTGTCTCCCCATTTCCACCTGTATGTCTGTCCACTCACTTACAGGATAATAAAACAGTAATGTACAGCTCACGTCACTTATCCCCCTGAGTATGATAACACTTGTGTTTTGTATTGTTTAACACCTCAGATTTTTTTTCATTTTTTTTTGTAGTACCGTTTCAACCGTTTCTTTTTTTTTTTCTTGGGGGCACTCTCTACAGCCTTGGGCAAGGTGAAGCGCAGAAGCGTTTACAGTGCCCAACAGGGAAGCATGCTAAATTCATGCTTGCCTTTATGTCTCATGAGTTAAGGGCGTAGAAGCCTGAAGAGTCAAGGGCATAGAAGCATGAAGAGTCAATAAATAATAATAATAATAATAATAAACGGTTTATTGAAAAAGTTCTGCAGCCCGAAGGTTGAAAATATACATTGGACATAAATGACTTATTACATTGGTGGTTTAACAAAAGCCTTCATTAGAGAAAGGTGAAAGAACATACAGTGAACATACAGATTAATGTTTACAGCGGAGGCCACATAGATCATGTGAGCTGAGGTTTTGAACAGCAGACACGTAGTGTAGTAACTCCCTCACAGGTGGTGTTATGAGGCCGCTTGACGTGGTGTAGTCATTCCCTCACAGATGGTGTTATGAGGGCCTGATGTGGTGTAGTAGATCCCTCACAGATGGTGTTATGAGGGCCTGATGTGGTGTAGTAAATCCCTCACAGATGGTGTATGAGGGGTCTGATGTGGTATAATAATTCCCTCACAGATGGTGTTATGAGGGGCATCACATGGCGTAGTAATTCCCTCACAGATGGTGTTATGAGGGGCATCACGTAGTGTAGTAATTCCCTCACAGATGGTGTTATGAGGAACCTCACATGATGCTGTAGCAATTCATTCACCACGTGGTGTCGTAGCATCATGGGGACACCACGTGGTCTGTTGTCACAGGACTTCACTCACTCAAGGGAGTGAGGTGTGGTCCCAGGCCTCCCCCTCGTGGAGCCTCAGGGGAATTATCACTGGGTACAATGGTTTATGTCATCAAGTTATTGGAAGCTCCAACAACTTGTCCCTGAATACGCAACTTTCGATTTACAACAGGTACCTACTTTACTGCTAGGTGAACAGGGACTAATGGGGGCTAGGAAGTATGTCCAAACAACTTCCACCGGCCCGGGGAATCGAACCCGTGACATCTAGTTTAAAGGCAAGAGCGGTACCACTCTACCACCAGCCTCCCCCAATAGCCATACTTTCGCTGCCATTTTATTACCTTAATATTAAATATCCTATTACATAAGTAGCCATCCTAGCTGTGTTGAATTAGTTGAGCCGCAGATCTATGCGGCATTCAGTGACTGTAGCCTCATAGTCAATATCTGCAACTGTTGTCGGCTTTGGGGCCGATGCTCGTTCCCCTGAGGCAGAGCAAAGCCGACCTAAGGAGAGAGAAGGACAGTCGACATCTCAACCAGGCTGTAACGTAACTTCTGGCTGCTACTGTTCTGACAACACTTTAGCCAGTCTTGCGTAGAAACATCTTGCATTTGGTCCCATCCCTCCGGATATTGTGAACACACATATTTTTACATACCGTACATTAAAAGTATTATTTTGTTCCAGATGTTTTAAATGTTCAAGGAAGGAAAAAATCCAAACACAGGTCACAAGAAACAATGTTTATTTTTGTATCAATTACATTTGCGTTTTGGGAAAAATAATAAGAGGTGTAACCCATTCTCTTTTGTACCTTCTACGTGTATAATAATTCCAACACTGAAGAAGAGCTCAACAAGACCCAGTAACAGATGGTGAAAGGAGGAAAACACAGCAACCACAGCAATCGAGTATCAGAAACCAAACGGGAAGTGAAAGTTGCGATGAGCAGATTAGGAAGGCTTCGATTTTCCTTACAGGATATAGGAAAAGAAAGAGCTGGAACAATTTTCTATAAGACTATACGAGTCTGATTTTACTAGTGCAAGTATTTATATATTGCTGCTGTAGTACTTTCATAAGTGAATGGGACCGACAGACACAAAGGCTAATATATTGGGTGTCGAGAGAATCCAGGACTAACGCACAACCACCAGATGACGAGGGTTGGAGCCTCTAGTCTAGAGGAAGGATCACGCTGGTCAGTGTCTTTACAGTAACTATGATGCCGTTGTCCGGGATATTTTATTAAGAACAGTTGGTTGCAGCTACGACCAAGACAAGACAAGACTCGTATCCTATAAACTATCAATAGCACCCCAGAGTTGGTAGTAGATAAGAGTTTAGTCCGCCTCGCCTGTCTGCTCGCTGGGTGAGATTCAGAAGTAAAGTGGACCCACAAATTGATTTTCGAAAATTACGTTTTATTTATTGGCTTTTCTTTTTCTCTCTCTATATATATATTTCTAAAAACTTTGGCGTCCCTAATCATTATATAACAAACTCATTTCAGTGGTCAGCATTTCTGTCATTCAAGAGTATTAACAGTGATGGTGAAGGAGTGCTCTTGGCACATACAGTACAGTACTCTAGAAAGATAGGAAGCAGCTTATGAGGCAAACTAACACACACTAAATATATACTATAGGTTAGTGCTGTGTAAAATAAAAATGAGGAAGGCGTTATTCTAAACGTTAATATGGAATGCCATTCAATATCGAGGGCTTCTTTAACTCCAATATGTTAGTGTAGTAAAAAGATTTATCGGAAAAAAAGGAAGATTCTAATTTCGATCAGAACTAAGATTTATTCAGCATATATTGCACTGGTATATCAAGAACAGATTTTTTTCCTAACTATATTTTTCAGTGAAAATTATAGTTTATAACATGTCAAGGAAAATCTATTTACATATCTACATTCGCTTTCCTTAGTCTATAACTCAGCGTGCAGCAGGACCAGGCATGTTTACCAACAGGTCATGCGTCGTCAAGGTTCATTTTCCCATTGAATTTTGTAGGAATATGATCCTCGAGGAGGAGCATGACGAAGACTCAGCATTTCTCTGTTCGTGCTACAGGTAATATCATCAAGGGTAATGGGGGGGGACCAGCCGGGTACCTGATGACCACACGGTACAGGAAGCAGTCGGAGCCTCACTCTACGGTACAGATAGTGCGCTGAACATCTAGTATCGCGTTGGACATGTATCGTGTGGTACATGTGTTGTAAAAGTATCCTATGGTACAAGAATCATAACTCAACACAGGCATCATACGATAGCTACACGGTACATAAGTCAAAGGTACACTTCTCAGTATCAGCGGTACTCTCTTCACCCCTGGTCGCCATATCATCACAGTGCTTGGTGAACTTTAACTCCATATCTTAAAATTTAGATAAATATAAGTGCCACTCAAAACATCTCTCAGTGCCATAATATAATTTAAATATTTCTCCCATACAGAAGTCAGCAAAATTTCTTGTTTTTCAAAGTCGTTACTTTGTTTTTCTATAATTCAAAAATTAAGAAAAAATAATATAATTTTGTATTTTTTCAACAATAAGCTTCCCAAATTTTATATTTCATGAACGTTAATTTTTGTAGCTGTTTTGCCTCAAGATTTAGACCTTCATCACATGGATGTGTAAGACCACCAGCCACATCTTACGTCGACAAACATCATTATTACTTCAACCAATGTATCAAAGATGTGGAAGACAGAGCTAAGCCGCGCTGGCAGGAAGGATGACGGTCGGTTATTGTAATTTAGATTATGATACTAAATGCCCAGTTAACTCGCTTCTCAACACCCAGCAACTGATGTCATAAGATCCATTAATAAACATCAACATTATCTGAGGTGCGTTATGGCAGAAGCAGTCCGAAATCTTTTTATGTTCACCCGCAGGACAGCCAACACAAACCTCGACTCGTAAACACATTCATTCTTGTGTTGATAATCAGCGTGTGGACGGTGGTGGAGACTTGCGGCCTTATATACAGTGTTGAGTGACGTGTTGCTGTACTTTAATTGTTGTTATTAAAGGAGGAAAACCGCCTACCTGACGTAGCAAAACTCTGATAAACAGACGGTAGCGCCTAGCGTCCCTCCCACACCCTGGCTGGTGCGACCCAACACTTTACTCCGCACCAGCTTATATAATTAAACATTTTCCAATCCATAAATACTAAAAATCTTCAAGAGGAATCTGGTGCATCATAATATCCATTGATGCGACTTGCACTTAAAACAGTGATGTGAAGATTCCCCCCAAGACTGTACAAACCAACCATAACAACATCACAAGATCACAGAGAAGCGAAGTGAGGACGAGGCGCTCAGTCGTTGAGGGGGCTGGCGACGCCTGTGTTGCTGGTCCAGGGGTACGTCTCTGGGCACTGGCACGTCCTCATGTACCGTACACCACCCTTATGCCACACGTTGCACACCTTCTTGCTGACACACTTCTTACGATCCTGTGAGAGTAGATGGAGGAGAGAGAGAGGTGAGTGAGGGGGAGGCCTCAGGAGAGTAAACAACTTAAAACGTTTAACTGAAGGAGGGTGACCAGTGAGGAAGGACGAGGGAGGCAGCAGCTTACCAGGATATCAAAATATATCACTTCAGAACAGTTATCATATATTAGACTTTATTATACATCATAAAAGGTAAAAAATATATATATTATAGCAGGAAGTTGGAAGGCCTCTCAGGCACTATACCTGAATTTAGGCCAAAATTTGAAAGAGGATTATGTTGGTGATATTGTATACTGTACACAATATGGTGCACCTACCGGGTAGTTTGACCCTAACTATGTGTACTGTTACGACCGTGTCGTAGTTTTCTATTATTTTTTTTATAACATGCTTCCATGTTGTTCCATATTATTCCTCTAATGATGTGCTATATTTACTATTATATATTCTAGTCACCTTACCCTGTGCTGTTAAGGTTTTAACTGTTATTATTTGTTCAAGCCCATCTTATTTCTTCATTTAGTATTGCAACAAGCATTCTTTGTTTCTCTAACAACCATCTGCATCGTTAAACGACCCATTTTTCACTGGTGTGTCGCGCTGGCGGAGCCGACCCTATATATAGTACCCCACCAGCAGACGGAGTTCAGTCCAGTCCTCTTGTCATTCTTATGTTCTTTTGAGTGACACCTGTCACCTGTTACTTATACTTTATTTTATTTCTGTGTTGTTCCTGTCGCCACCAATGTATATCTATGTGAGTAATTCAGTGTTGTTTCACGATAGTTAATATCAGTGGTAGTTATTTTATATGTTTATGCAGTGTTAACGTAATCCAGTGCTTTATTTTTATTCTATATATTTAAGCAGTTCTTTCGATGTTTCGGTATCATTTGTGTCTTAAAAGTTTCGATATTGAATCAATTTGTTGTGACAGCCTACGAGGCTCTTTTATTGTGTTAGTATTTAATTAAATTAAATTCTTAAAGGTTTACTTTATTTATTTTTATTCCCTTTTGATTTATTTCATTTTTTTTTGTTTGGTTACGTGGTCCTAACTATGTGCACCTACCGGTAGTTTTGGTCCTATGTGTTCCTACCAGGTAGTTTGGTCCTAACTATGTGCACCTACCGGGTAGTTTGGTCCTATGTGTTCCTACCAGGTAGTTTGGTCCTAACTATGTGCACCTAGCGGATAGTTTGGTCCTCATGTGTTCCTACCAGGTAGTTTGGTCCTAACTATGCACCTAGCGGATAGTTTGGTCCTATGTGTTCCTACCGGGTAGTTTGGTCCTAACTATGTGCACCTAGCGGATAGTTTGGTCCTATGTGTTCCTACCAGGTAGTTTGGTCCTAACTATGTGCACCTACCGGGTAGTTTGGTCCTATGTGTTCCTACCAGTAGTTTGGTCCTAACTATGTGCACCTACCGGGTAGTTTGGTCCTAACTATGTGCACCTACCGGGTAGTCGCAGCCGAAGGAGAAGTTCTTGATCGAGCTGAGTGGTGTTGGGTTCCTCATCCACTGGAGAAGGCGTTGGTAGTGAACCAGACGTCGTCCATGCCAACGATGGTGTCGAGGAAGGCGATGAATCCCTCCTTGTGGTGTGGCGTCGTGAACCAGGCGGCGTGGTAGTACAAACCGAAGGGCGCTCTGTCGGGGTGAGGAAAATAAGGGTTTTAATCTGCTACAACACTGACCACAGATAACCACAATACCTAATGAAGGCGTGAGTTATATCACCTCAAGGGGCACCCAGTATGAGATTTGGGACCTGTGAGAACTGGGGTCTATGAGAACTGGGGCCTATGAGAACTGGGGTCTATGAGAACTGGGGCCTATGAGAACTGGGGTCTATGAGAACTGGGGCCTATGAGAACTGGGGTCTATGAGAACTGGGGTCTATGAGAACTGGGGCCTATGAGAACTGGGGTCTATGAGAACTGGGGTCTATGAGAACTGGGGCCTATGAGAACTGGGGCCGATTTGACCCACCAAGCCTTTCATCTGGTGGTGGTAGACTGCATGATGCTTTACCTGTTGGTGGTATAGTGTCTCGTCTTACCTGTTGGTGGCTGTAGTGTCTCGTCTTACCTGTTGGTGGCTATAGTGTCTCGTCTTACCTGTTGGTGGCTATAGTGTCTCGTCTTACCTGTTGGTGGTATAGTGTCTCGTCTACCTGTTGGTATATATGCCCGTCTACCTGTTGGTGTCTCCACAACACCACCTTACCTGTTGGTGGTATAGTGTCTGTCTACCTGTTGCGGATAGTGTCTCCCACACCCCTTATAGTGTTCGTCTTACCTGTTGGTGGTGTAGTGTCTCGTCTACCTGTTGGTGGCATAGTGTTCTCGTCTTACCTGTTGGTGGCTGTAGTAACGTCTTCGGTGCTGGTCCGTCTTACCTGTTGGTGGCTAAGTGTCTGTTACCTGTTGTGCAACCCCTTACCTGTTGTCCAAGCCCTTACCTGTGGTGCGCACTGGAATAGTGTCTCGTCTTACAGGCTATAGTGTCTGTCTTACCTGTTGGTGGCTATAGTGTTACCACCCAGGCAAGTTCTCGTCTTACCTGTTGGTAGCTATAGTGTCTCATCTTACCTGGCAGCTAGTAGTGTCTCGTCTTACCTGTTGGTGGCTATAGTGTTCATCTTACCTGTTGGTGGCATAGTGTCTCCCTTACCTGTTGGTGGCTATAGTGTCTCGTCTTACCTGTTGGTGGCATAGTGTCTCCTCACAGGCAAAACGTCTTACCTGTTGGTGCTATAGTGTCTCGTTACCATAGTACATATGTCTCAGTTACCAACTATAGTGTCTCACTGCCCATGAAATTCTTTAACCCCTGTGGCACCGCTTCTTGCTTAGTGCCACCTCACCTGTTGGTGGTTGTGTCTCGTCTACCGTAATGCCAGGTGCTTACAAGTCTCGTCTTACCTGTTGGTGGTTATAGTGTCTCGTCTTACCTGTTGGTGGTATAGTGTCTCGTCTTACCTGTTGGTGGCTATAGTGTCTCGTCTTACCTGTTGGTGGCTATAGTGTCTCGTCTTACCTGTTGGTGGCTATAGTGTCTCGTCTTACCTGTTGGTGGCTATAGTGTCTCGTCTTACCTGTTGGTGGCTATAGTGTCTCGTCTTACCTGTTGGTGCTATAGTGTCTCGTCTTACCTGTTGGTGGCTATAGTGTCTCGTCTTACCTGTTGGTGGCTATAGTGTCTCGTCTTACCTGTTGGTGGTATAGTGTCTCGTCTTACCTGTTGGTGGCTATAGTGTCTCGTCTTACCTGTTGGTGGCTATAGTGTCTCGTCTTACCTGTTGGTGGCTATAGTGTCTCGTTCTCGTCTTACCTGTTGGTGGCTATAGTGTCTCGTCTTACCTGTTGGTGGTATAGTGTCTCTCGAAGTTTTTGATGAGCATCTTGTAAACATCCTCAGCGGTAGAGGGCGTGGTGCAGGCGTCGGCCATGGAGCAACGGCCATTGTTCAGGTCCTGCCACATCACCATGGGCACCTGCCACAGTCCTGCGGGAGGAGGGAGCGTGTCAGCCACCCGGAGGAGACGGGAGAAGTGGATGGAGAGTCAGCAGGAGTAAAGGAGAGTCAGCAGGAATAGAGTCAGCAGGAGTAAAGGGGAGTCAGCAGGAGGAAAAGTGAGTCAGCAGGAGGAAAGGAGAGTCAGCAGGAGTAAAGGAGAGTCAGCAGGAGGAAGGTGAGTCAGCAGGAGAACAAGAGAGAGCCAGCAGGAGGAAAAGAGAGTCAGCAGGAGGAAAGGAGAGTCAGCAGCAGGAAAAGAGAGTCAGCAGGAGGAAAGGAGAGTCAGCAGGAGTAAAAAGAGAGTCAGCAGGAGTAGAGTCAGCAGGAGGGATCCATTAACTAAGACAAAGGCTGAAGTGGAAGGAGGATTTTAGCTACTGAGACAGGGATGGAAAAAGAAAGAAAGGACATAAATACATAAATAAATAAAAAATAAACTGAAGGAAGGAATGGAGAGAATGGTCTACTCACCAGGGTAGGAGTTGGTTGGGCAGGGTGGGATCATACAATCGTGGAAGAGGGAGTAGTCGAGGGTATAGGGCCAACTAGGAGGGGTGTTCTCATACACCGGCATAGAAGAGTCGTAGGTGAAGTTCTGCTCCCATAACATTCTGTACATCTTGTTGCCTCCGATCTGTAGGAATGAAGGTTGTAGGGTTAGGTTAGTGTTAGGTTAGTGTTAGGTTAGTGTTAGGTGGTCTAGAAAAGGTTCAACATTATGCCATAAAACTCAGGTGGTGACTCACAGCGAGGAATGGAGCTCTCATGCCTCTTACGTCCTCCATCTTCACACCTCCATAAGCAGAGAGTATTTCCCTCTGACCGGAGATTTCTTTGGCCCACCTCTTTGTCGAGAACTTTTCCCCGAAGCTGTGCCTGAGGTGGGTAATGGTGGGTTAAATGAGTGTGGTGTGGGCTGGGTGGGTGGGTGGTGGGTGGTGGGTGGGTTGGTGGTGGTGGGGTAGAGGGAAGGGATATGGGGATATTTGGATAGCAGGTGGGTTGGGTTGAGGGTTATTATTGAGGAGGGGTTGGTTTGGGGGGGAGGTGGGTTGATGTGGGTGGGTAGGTGAGGGTTGATGTGGATGGGTAGGTGAGGGTGGGTTGATGTGGATGGGTAGGTGAGGGTGGATTGATGTGGATGGGTAGGTGAGGGTGGATTGATGTGATGGGTAGGTGAGGGTGGGTTGATGTGGATGGGTTGTTGAAGCGGTATAATGGAAGGTGGGTTAGATCGGGACATGGTGGGTTCTAAAAGTGGGTTTTGAAGACTTTGTGTACTTTACTGTTCATATTCATTCATTGTATAATAGAGACATGTTATATTATTCATTATTTGTCCAAAAATATTTCAAACTTCACCAAAAAAATATATTGGATATTTTAAGTAAACAAATGTATGTGAAAGTGAATTATGAAAAAAAAACTTTGTATGAGTGAAGAGTTTCATTCATTGTTGAGAAACACAGAGACACACTGCATGGCATGAAGACAGTTCAGTAACAGGTGATAGTAGGATAAAGGATTTTCTTAGCCACGGAAGCAACATATTCAAGCAAGTTATGAATGACTTTGTCTTAAGTAAGGCAACCCTAGAAAATATTTACATTTAATATATAAAGTTGCCCAATTTACAAGCAGGATAGAACAAACAAAGGCATCGTACCATATTTTCAGACTTAAGAGCGTTTGAAAGTAAGAAAACATTGTCGTTATCTTTATGCAGTACAGCTTTATGAAAAGAGTCACTGACATAAATGTTGCCTCAAACAAATTTAAATACCAGAAGGAGAGTAATTTACATCATTCAGAGAAGGTTACGAATGCATTAGGAGTCTATTAGACTTAATGATGAACCCGAGGGAGGGAGAAACACATGCAAGAGTGAAGTCAACTGATGCATATTCCTTCCCTCGGTGTGTGGGGCTCTGGGGACTTACTGGATACTGTGGGACGCCATCTCGTGGCCCTCAGCGTACAGGTTCTGAACCTGGGCATAGTCGGTCCATTCATGGGACACATACATGGTAGAGACGATGGGACAGCCGTTGGGGTTTAAGCGACCGTTTTCGAAGAGCTCTTTGTACAGTTCCTTATTGAGGTCATTCACTGAGTCATCAAAGGTGAGGAGAACGATCTGGGGAGTCTCGCCAGGGAGGAAGCCGCCTGAGGCGAGAAGGGGAGGAGTAGAAGGCGGAATGCTCGGAGAAGAATAACAAGGTTATCCATATAAAAGTATAATGCTGAAAGAGAACGTTGGAGAAACCGTGAGAAAACCTGGAGGCAGATGATAAGAGGGTGACTAACATAGACGGGCAGTGGGCGGCTGAATGTTTATGTACAGAGAAAGACAAACAAACACTCCTGCATGGGGAGATAAAGAAGCAAAGCAAAGCGCAATTCATGCAGTGTGCAAGCTCAGTCGTTTGTGTGTGTTCGTTGACCCTGGAAATACTTACGAAATAGAATGGGATGCAATTTCATGCCCATCAGCATAGAGTTGCTGCACCTGTACGTAGTTCGTCCATTCATGACTAACGTACATGGTAGAAGGAATGCGGCAGCCGTTGGGATTCAGTCTCCCGTTCTCAAACAGTTCCTTGTAAAGCTCACTATTGAGTTCGTTCACAGCGTCGTCAAAGGTTAGGAGGACAATTTGAGGGAGTTCGTTGGCGCTGTAGCCACCTGTCGCGAGGTGGCCAAGTTAGAACTTTGTAAGGCTGCCCTAGTGGTGATCCAGGGTGTGTGTGTGTGTGTGCGTGTTGTAAGTGTACATATATACACCCACGTACACGACTCTGTCACCCTACCAAGTAATTAGTGTTATCAAATGTAAACAAATGCATGCAAACTACCAGTATAATTGTTTGCTTATCAGTCAAGAAAATGGAAAGCCAATGGATATGAGAGGTTGTCTATAACTGTCTGACATGTAAGCAGTGTTTCAACCTGTAAACAATAGATTATCACCTGTTGTTTATTATTGTTTACTGCTCTGTTGAGATTTTGTCTGTTGTTTACTTGTAGGTGTAAACCGGTGCTTTATGGCAGGAAAGTTATCGTGTACCTTAAAGACAGATTGTTGAAGAAACGGAGTAACGACGTCACCCTTAGACCGATAAACAGACAGACAGACAGACAGACATACACCAAGTTGAAGGAAGAGGATTCGAGTGACTTAAAAACTTGGTTGAATTAAGTTTAAATAAGAGACATTATATAGAGTTTACATTATGGGCTCAAATTATTAAGTGTAAACAATATTACACAAACTTGGCTACTGTAAACATAAACTTATTAAAACACGAATGAAACTTAAAAATGCAAACAATAACAACGAGTGAATATTTTGTTTACGTTTTTTACTGGAGATTAAGTGTTTTCTTCTGTTAGCAGTTTTATAATAGCTAAATCATTTATCACAATCTTTAATATATAATTTGTTTTTATATTTTATAAGTAGAATTATAAAATAACTTTTATTTAATATAAAGTGAAAATTATATATTGAAATTCCTCTCCAAACTAAAAAAAAATAAAAATTAAATGGATAGGCAGAGGGAAATCCTTCGTCCTCCTTATTGAACTATCTACAACCAGGTAAGTCACACGATCCCTCATTAACTACTACTACTTCTACTACTACTACTACTACTACTACTACTACTACTACTACTACTACTATTACGTATCCCTACTTATTGCGCTTGACTATAAGATTCGTGCAAATTAACAATTAGTTTATTTTCTATTGCAACTATAAATATTATCATTATCATTGTAATGGTGAAAACATGAATGAGTGAATACATTAAACATTAGCATAAAACAAACACGTATTCTGAAAACAAACAGCTTATCAACAAATAAAAAACACGAAAAAGAGACAATCATCAAACGAGGTGAATTAATTTTTTTGAAACAAGTAAAATACATTTGATGAATAAGTTTTATACATTAAGTGTTTATTCTCAGTATACGTGTATCAATACAGAAGTAATGTATTACAGCTAAACACAATAATCGATCAATTACCTGAAAAATACACAAATTTATCATAGGAAACATGTAAATTATACTTGACAAATACAATTATAGATTTAAGCTATTATACTTAATGACCAACTTAATAACATACATATTAGTTATCAAAATTATCCTGAATGATACATGGTTTATATCTGTTTTAATGAGGCTTAACCCTTCCACGTTTATTAACGGGTTTATATTCATGGTGTTTATACTATCAGGTTTAAGATGTCGTTTATCACCCTAATGAGTCGAGTATTATATAAACAAACACACTCCATTATGTAAACAAACACTTCATTATTATGTAAACAAACAAACACACTTAGGAATTATACAGACGTAATTTTTTTTCTTCTTTAATGGAGTTATGAAGAGCTTATATTTTGAGTGTGTTTCCTGCATCTTAACCCCTTGATTAGGATGACTTAACCCCTTGATTAGGATGACTTAACCCCTTGAGTACGATGACTTAACCCCTTGATTAGGATGACTTAACCCCTTGATTAGGATGACTTAACCCCTTGATTAGTATGACTTGATTATGAGAGTACGATGACAACCTCCAGAGTGCATTGTCATCTTACTCAAGGGAATGGATTATCGTATTTAAAGGGTTTAAGACACCGTATTTAAAGGGTTTAAGACACCGTATTTAAAGGGTTTAAGACACCGTATTTAAAGGGTTTAAGACACCGTATTTAAAGGGTTAAGATGTATTACTCACTAAACTAATTTACTTTACTCAAGTATTTAAAATAAATTAGTTTCATGGTTTTATCTTAATTTACTTTTGCCATTACTGATTTGACTTTCTTTTGAAGTTCTGTCTTGAGGGGCGGGAAAAGAACCCAACCAGGTGTGAATATTAATTAACCTCTGACAATCTACTGAACTGTTTATGCTTCGTAATAAGGGCAGGTAGTCCCACATATTACCCACCTATGATAATATAATTTTACTGTTTATTCCTATGTTTGGGTATGAAGACAGGTAAAGGGATCCAGGTAGGTGTGAAAAAAATTACCAACCTGTCAAAACGTAAACAAAGACTTACCTGGGATTTCCTTGCCGCCGCAGTAGCAGTCAGGGAGACGACACACCTTAGGGTCGCATTTCTCAGCCTTGGTGTCGACAGGTGGGGCAGGGCCAGTTGGTGTAGGCCTGACGTAGGGGAAGGCAGGGAGGCTTGATTAGAACAGGTCAGGGAGCGTGAAGGGAGAATGAGGAAGGGAGGGAGTGTTGAAGGTAGGTGAAAGGGAGGAAGGGAGAGAGACGGGTAGTGAGAGGGAGGGAGTGATTGATGATAGGGAAAAGGGTGAGAGAGAGAGAGAGAGAGAGAGAGAGAGAGAGAGAGAGAGAGGTAACAAATATCAAATTTCTTCAGTTAATTATAAAATAAAAACAAATTTAGATTTTTTCCATTAATTAAAAGCTGAAGCTGAGAAAATAACAGCACAGTTATTTATAAATAGAAATGCTCCATTTAGCTTTAGATTAAACAAATATATAGAAAGTAAGAGAAAGAAATACTCCTTTTGTTGACCAGAAGTTTCGTTTTTTACAGAAAATGGGGGAAGTCACTACAGAAAATGGAAACTCTTAGAGAAAACAGAATTATTGGCATTTAGAAAGCATTGACGTGGTGAAGGTATAATACAAGATATGTTTATTTAATTTACAAAAAAATAAGAATATATAGAATTTTTATTATTTAAGTAAGCAAGTATGTAACAAAATATTAAGCAAGCAGAATTAGTCAAATTTATACTTACAATGGGGAAAATGGATTTATTTAAAAGCGTTTACAGTATCAGTTGTTATTTTCATTAGAAAGAGAAGCTGTCTACAAAAAAGTGAAGCCATTTACAAGTTGATTCGATTTATGTGAGAAGTTTAAGTTGTTGAGGTGTGAAGCGGTCCTTCGTTCCTATAACTGGTACATCACAGTTTAATGACGTGATTCACATAACTGATGCAAATGATTTGACTCAAATTGCGTCATTAAACTTTAACCCTATCGTGCCTCATGACGCAAATCACATCAAATTATGTGCATCAGTGACGCAAATTGATTAATTCACTTTTAATGTACGAGTTATAGGGACGAGGGATCGGTTCATACCATAGGCCCAGTTATAGGGACGAGGGATCGGTTCACACCATAGGCCTGAAGTGAGCCTCGGTCCTTAACTGGGCCTCTCTTATTTGAAGGTCCGTAACAGTATATGTGATCTTGTAACTACTGTATGTTAATGGTCCTGTAACTGTACATGTGATCTTGTAACTATGTTAATGGTCCTGTAACTGTACCCATAAGGTTGGTTTTCTCACAAGAGATGGGAGAACATTGTGTACGGGGAGAGATGAGGGAAAAAGGCATGAAAGAAATCAGGAAATAAAAAATAATAAAAAAATAAATGACGCCAAAAGCTTGGAGGAAATTCATTTATAATTTATATATTTTTTTTTTCATTCCATTTTTTTTTAATTTATGTGTAGTTTCTAGTTGTATTTAAACTGTTGCATTTTAATATTGATTTTTTAAAACTATTTATTTATAAATTTATTTATTTTTATATTTCTGATATTTTTTAATTTAATATTTTATTCATTCTTCTTGTTTTATTGTTGATTATTCTATATTACTCTTTACTTTATATTATTACTCTATTCTATAAGTTACTATCTATATTTACTATATTTATTCTATATTATATCTTCCTTCCTATTTAATCTTCAGTCAGTAAAGCTTCTGATACAAACATTATCTCAATAATTCTCTTCTTTAGGAAAACTGTTTTTTTTTTTTAATCAGAGAAAATATTACACACAGGACCTGACTTACCCGGCCAACTGGGGCGGATCGTGAAGGCTGATCATCTGGTCTAATTATCAAGTAATTATGTTTCAAATAGCAAATCTAGTATGATCCAACTAATCCAATGTTGATCAGCTAATCAAACCCCAATCAGCTAATAAAATACAGATCAATTAACATATCAAACCGCTTCATTAGCATCCTTAGTAACTACCACAATGACGACCGCTGGTTGAAGATTAAAACAATAAATAATGACAAGAGACTTTACCAACATTGTGGAATGACTCATTTAACAACCAATCATCATCAACCAATTGCGGTGGTTGGCTAAGGACGCTTAAATGGGCGGAGCTTAGTTGATAGGAACTATAAGCTGATCTAACTCAAACTACTTAATGATCAAACTAAACATGCAGGTTCTCTACTAGTAAGCAGCGACACTAATTGGTAGCTAAACTAATAACTAGAAGCAGAGGAAATCGTCAAATTAATACTTGTCTGTCAGGACTAGTTTAATATATCTTTAGTAATTAATTTTATTTTCGAGTCATATTTTTTTCTCAATATATCTGTCGTTCTCATAGGTATGTTATGTGTCATATAATTGTTCTTTTATTAAACGAGGCTGACAAAATAACATTTATTCCTTTGCATATTCTCACAAAAACACAACACCCATTTACAGGACTTAGTTGTGATCGAACTGTTTGTTTGTCCGTCTAGTCTCGTGGTTGTATTGGTGGGTTAGTACCAATGGCGTTTTGCATGCACCACCATCACCATTAGAGTCTTGCCCTTAGCTTACATGCACTATACAGCTACTGACAGTCTTAACCTAGGCAAGAGGTCGTACTAATAACACGGTGAAGAGGAGGTTAAGCAGTGTCGTCCAGGAACCCACATTGATTCAGGAAGTAATTTTGTTTTATATTATCATAAACGTCGACAGAATTCATTACTCTGAATTACTACTCTTTTGATTAAGCGTCTATGGAGTGATATAATTCACGTCTTCATAGTCTGGGATTTGCTTTAAGTCTCCCTGATATTGCCTCGGTGGAGATCTTTCACAGCTGAAATCATCAACTCGAACCAAGACACGAAACAGGCAAGAACCATAAAATTGTTAAGATTCTCGTTACGGTGAAGTTCTTAGAGTCTGGGAACAGTGCGCAGCCGTAAACGTTCTTCACAGTTTGTAAATTAAGTCATGGCTAGAAAGTCGTGTGTAAAACGAACACCTTCCCTTAATGTGATACCAAAGACAGCCGCCATGCAATGGAAATGTATATATTTGTCTTCTGTTTTGTTAAATGTTCGTTTGTAATGTAACTTTTGGAGAACTAACAGGTTATAGTATTTTGATTCTTCAAGCTCCCGTTACTGTATGTGAACATCGTTGTGTGGGCCACGATGTTTTCTACACATGCTATTAAATAACACACAACAGGACATGCTGGTTTTCTAAGGCTCGGCAGTATGTCACCTTGATGTGCTCCGTTGTACTGTGTTATACTACATGCGCATTACAGTAACTGATGAATGTAACTGGGCATACAGACTGTTGTGTAAAGCTTGGATATAATCTTCACCCATTCATGGCCTTAAGTCTCAAAAGATTTACACGTTATATTTTTCCCCAATTTGAAGATGCGAGAAAGCATCTACTTTGTTCATCTAAGCTTAAGTTGCAATGCTGGCAACTGAGACTATCATAACCAGTTGCTTTCTCTTATCTCCAATTAAAGAGAGGAAAAAATACCGTACAAACCCCTCAGAATAAAGACCAGAATGAATAAAGGGGGCAGGGAGGCAAGGTGAAAATAAGGAGCGGCGACTAAATCAAGCGGAGGAGCGTAAGATGACGATCTGTCTCGCATGTTTGGGATGGCAAATTAGTGAAGGTTTACCTCCTGGGGGGATATTTCCAGATATCGTTGCTTAACGTGGGAGCTGAGGGTGCGAGAGCTGACACGGGCTTCAAGGTGGGGCGCCTACTCCTGTAACCAAACGCCAAGGGATACTCATAGAGAATGGGGGCTGGGTACTCACAGATGGTGGGGAGGCTTGTTAATTATAGAAAACGGGGACTAGACACTCATAGAAAACGGGGGTTGGGATTATCAGATGGACAGAGGCAGAGAAAATGAGGGCTGGGGGATTTGGGATTTTTTTTATTTTATTTTTAGAGCAAAGTCAGAAAGAATACAACAACAGAGCCAAGCGGTTTATATATTTTATACAGCATTCAGTATAAGGGAAAGGTAATTCAACATTAAGGGAGAGATTTATCAATTACCTGATAAAATAGGGGTAAGGTAGCTAGGTTATTCGTTCAATTTACATATGAGCGAGGCAAAAGAGGGTTTTTACAGAGATCTTAAGTGAAACTGAGATAATCGTTTTTCTCTGGAAGCACCAAAAGATCACCTTAACAAGAAGGGAATTTTATCTGAAACAATAATGATTTTATATCTTATAAGAATATGTAGTCAACCCTGGAAAAAAAAGTTTATATATATTTTCTTTGGTGGGAAAAAATCGAACAGCATGCAGTGTAGTTAGTTGTATCTTTGGAGAGCTTAATTATTGATTTTTATCCAATATATATCTATAGTATTATGATTTTTTGATCTGAGACATTCTTGTACTGATATTTGTTCAGATTGACTTGCACCAAAAAAATTGTACCAATGTTTGTAGTTAATTTACCAAGGACAAGGACATAAGCCACACCTGGAGGCGTAGTGAGAGTCGTCTGTGTGTGTGTCTTGATGGACCACACAATATATTAGTCTCCTAATAATTGTTGTTGATTTTTTTTATATATATTTTGATGACTAATATTTTTAATGCCTGAATCACAAACACTCAGAAACAGAGAAACACAAACACAGACACACACATTTCCACATTAGATACTCCTAATAACAATAAAAAAAACATAAATAGCCTGTTACAACAGACCTTGCAGGCACGGAAGAGTCGACAGAGCGGGGAGTAGTAGTGGAACTCGGAGATCCTCTGTTGTTGGTGGTGGTGGACTGTCTCGGGGGAGTCCTGCTCAGACAATCACATTAGTTAACATGGTGGCAGCGGTGGGATGCTGGTGGTGTTTTGTATTTCACATGAGATAAATTGAGAAATTATAAGTAAAATTTGCATTCTATTAAAAATATATAGACACATTGTACATAATTATTATGAGACAACTTTGTAATACACTTGCATTTTTAGTGTAAATAATGTAAAGATTTGTCAACACATTCATAAAAAAAAATTATTTAGTCAAATGATTTTAGTATACCTGAAGATTAAAAATTGATATTCATAGAAACATAACAAATTCAGTACCACAAATAAAAACAATATCTTGGAATACTGAAATAAGCTTCATAAATCCTAATTTGCTAAAGTGAAGAAAATAGTAAAATAAGATTTGAAACATGATTAATGAAAGATCTGTAAAAAGGTATCAATGGACATTTATTTTCAGTCAAGTCTTCTATATATCCTTCACCATAAATACTTTGTACTGGATGTTAACCTGGCGAGTGATCTCATCTAAACATGCTAATAATACAGGTGTGTCAGGTGTAGTATCTCAGTGATGGGCGAACACACACACACACACACACACACACACACACACACACACACACACACACACACACACACACACACACACACATTATTTATGCATGTCATAATGACGTTTTGTCCACCTTAATGTTTTTACAACTCATTGTGAATTATGGGTAACTCTGTTCAAGAAATATCGAATATTTTAACACACAAAAGCATGTTGGTTTATATTACCATCCTGTCAGAAGTAACTCTTAATTCCATATTTCATCAACAAGGTTTGTTTATAGCGATCTGGTTAACATGCAGGTTTTCCAAAATCAAACTTAATGTTTGATAAACACAACCTATACAAAAAGTCTTGCTTAGTAAAAGGGAGTTCCTAAAGCTGTGTCTGGAACTGCACATTTTGTCAGTCTCTGGAGCCAGCAAGTGGCAATGAGTGGTGCGTGAGACTAAACTCAGCAGCTTAACAGCCACTAAGTTCTTTTGTCTCTCTGAAAGGGATTAAGAGATGTAAGAACGTCACAAAGTCACAGGAGCCGAGTCTTGGGTGTTGAAGGTTGGGATGAGGAGGACCGGAGAGGTGAATGACATGAGACTTGATGTCATCAAAATGCAAAGCATCTTGCAATACTATAACAAATGGAGGCCACAAGGCTGAGCAGAAGGAAAGTGACAGGAAGTCCATTTGGGAAGAATACATTTATCAAAAGAAAATTATCATGTGTTTTATTAAGGAACCATAATGTTATTAGAATAAAAAAAAAGGTAAGGAATACAGGAGACATTATATGCTTGTCACTGCAGCAGTGGTAAATATAGAAGCATTAACCCGTTGCCGCTTGACTCTTTAAGGCCGAAACTTGTCATGCATTAAAGGAAGATTTTCAAAATGCCATGCTACGGGAGTCGCCGATGTCTGGACAATAATAACTCCAGTACACCAAGAAGAGTTAGTCAACTCATAACATACCTCGGGGGACTCTTGGATGAACGAGAGGAACCAGAACGGGAGGAAGATGGGGAGAGAGATTTCAGGACAGGTGAACTAGGGGTACGGGAAGGAGTGCGGGAAGGAGTGCGGGAAGGAGTGCGGGAGGGAGTACGAGGGGAGGCTGTGGGGAGGTTGGCTAGAGCTCTCAAAGCTTGAGAAGCTGTTTGAGAGAAAGATCCTTCTGACGCCTCGGATGGAGTCTTCTTGGGATTCCCAGTGGCTGGGATTGTGGCAAAGTGTGGGGAACTTGGCAAAGGTGGAGGGAAGACAGCGGATTGGGTTCTGAGTGAGGATGGGGAAGACACCGACTGTGAAGGGAAGGAGGAAGAGGAAGATGGGCCAGTGCTAGAGCGAGATTTTGGGGGCTGTCTCTGAGGTTGGGGCTGTCTCCTAGGCTGGGGCTGGGGTTGTGGCTGCAGGGGCTGGGGTTGAGGTTGGGGCTGGGGTCGGTACTGGGGCTGGGGTGGGTGCTGGGGCTGGGGCTGGAAGGATGCGGCAGGAGAGGCAGTAGGAGAAGGAGAGTCAGGAACACCGGAGAAGGAGAAGGATGAGATGGGACGTGTAGAATCAAAGTCAAAGTCGGAAAATTCGAAGGCCTGGGTTTTACCGCCCCTGTAACAACAACACACACCATCAGGTCTCCGCCACCTCAACACTGTACACTTGTCTTCTACAAATCTGGGTTATTCTCATACAATTTTTACCCCTATTCCTATTGGTAATAATTTAATTTGTAAAAACATCGTGCATCAGCATCCTTAACACACACAAAATTAAAACAACACATTATGAGTTAAATTTAATGACAAATACTCTTGGGTCTTAAGAGTCGAACACTTAGTATGGGTCACGTGCTTTCTCGTGCTTATTAAAGAACCACTGCGTGTTATATCAGGTCATCGGTCAAATGAGCCCCAGGTCCTAAGAGACCACATCCCAACTTAACCTAACCTTTCAGAATTAAGGTCCATTTGGGTTAAGAGTCCATTAGAACTGGGTCCTATTGGGGGATGATAACCATTAAAACTGGGATACTCTATAATTGGAACCCATTAAGACTGGGTCTCTAAACAATCGTATTTAGGTATAATGGGGACCTATTAGCACTTGGGCCCATTTAACCTACAACCTTGTGCCATGCTGGTGGACAGTGAGGGACACAACCTACAACATGGTGCAGGGGGAACCACACCGGCATGCATTTATTGACTACTGAAAACAAAACGAAACAAACGTTACTGTACATACCGACCTAATATACAACTTGGGGGAAAAGGTTAAGAAACACAAACAACTACTGAAACAAGTTGATTAGTTTTTCAGATTACTGATATGGAAAGAAATTATTTTATTATCTCGTGGATGTGAATTTTGAGATAGTTGTATAAGTCTTGTGGAGGCGGGATATGGTACACTTGAAAGGTTTAGTGGATGGATTCTGTGTACACATTTAGGATCAGTGGATGAATTATGTGTACACGTGTAACATCAGTTGATGGGTTCAGTGTACACATGTGGATGGTGAAACTGAATAGAGACTCTCAACAATACTGAGCTGCACCTGAGGACATCAGGTGCATATGAACATTCACATCCACGAGAGAGTTTGACGCCGAAGAATGACAACAGAACCTGGAGTGGGAGGAGCCAGACGAGCGGAGGCTGGAGGCACTGGAGGATGAGGTGGCTGCCCGGAGAGAGGAAGAGGAAGGAGAGGGGGAACGAGAAGGAGAAGTTCCTCCTCTGGGAGAACCTCCGCGGGCGAAGGACTTGGAGGAGGAAGGCTCCACACGAGTTCTATAAAAATGGTTGGAAGGATCGCTGTACTACACTTGATCTTTGCCTTTAAGGATTGGCTGTTCAGGTGGGCTACTTCGTGATTGGGTGCAAGAGACAGTCGACACTAGTTTAAGGTCCACGGTGAAGTGTTGTTCGTTGGAGGTCCAAATGGGTTATTCCGAGTCCCAACAGACCTTAACCTAACACGACCACTGGGTGTGGACCACGTAAAGACTGTGGTCCAAATTCTAATAGTATGGTTAGGTTAAGTCGGGTTTGGGGCCTGTTAGGTCTAGATCCCATTTGACCAGTCACCAAATTTGTCTACATATCTACACTGGATCTACTAGCGTATTGCGATGTGAAACTAGTACAGTAATTAGCTAAAATATCAATGGTTGTGATTTTAACTAGATACATAAATGCAACCACGTTTCACACACCTAAATTTTGGACTCATTGGCAGTGAATCAAATCATGCTAGTAGATACCTTACCCAATCAACCCACAGCAGTTAACAATAAATGTAGCCAGAGGAATTTCATTTAACACAGAAGGTATACATGAGATTCTACAACTGCGACAACAATTATATGTACAAATAACAAGAGTTTACCATTAATGAAGAAAAACCAACACAATACTTTATGTACAGACTTCTTAATAATGAGTTAAATAGTATAATACATTAATCTGATGATGTATATTTTATATATACAAATAATATACAAAACTTAAAATAAATTACAATACAAAATACAATATGCACATAGATTTAAGAAGACTAAGTTAGGTAGAGTGGTGCTGAAGGAGAGTTGTGGTAGAGATGTGTGCAGAGAGAGTGTGAAGATCGAGGGAGGGAGGGGGAGGGAGGGAGGTAAACCCATTAACAGGCTGTTGTCTTAGCCAGAAAGTGCATCAGTAAAAAAGTTTTATTTAGGATTCCATATCTAGATTTATTTACTTAAAACGAATTACGAGAAGAAAAATAATAAAGAATATGAATAAGCTTGACATTACTGCTAGAGAAGATAACACAGCCAGACCACCTTAGGTATTCCACAGGAGGAAATGAGCAGAAGTGAATGGGTTTTTTTTTTTGCTAGAAGAGAATAAGAAATTATGATATTCCTTTACCTTCTATAGTTGCTAGACCTATAAAGCGATTTTTGTTTACTATTAAGCAACAGGAGAGAGAAAACCCCAGAGTAGCAAAACAGAGGAGAGAATTCACACCTTCTAAAGAGATTCACTAGACATCTAATTAATTATTGCGCTGGTTATTGTTATTTCCAGTTCATTGTCACTATGTTATTCACAGTGGACTTTAACTCTAAGAGGTCCATGCAGCTAGGAGAGTTAATGGCCTCTATAAAGCCAACAGAAAAACAAAACTTTTAATTTGTTTATTTTCATCATAGTAACCAGCGCGTACCTGACAAGGATGGGCCTCAGCCTAGGAGTGCTTGTGGGAACGGGGGTGGTGGTGCGGGGACGAGGGGTGGTGGTGGTAGTGGTGGTTGTGGTAGTGGTGGTAGTGGTGGTTGGTGGTGGTGGTGGAGGACGGGTAACAAACTCAATCCCACCAGTAGCGACACCTCCCTCTCTAGGTACAGAGTGCCAGTGCCAAAGGTCAGAGGTGAGGAGAATTTTAGCTCATGGGATGGTGATTTGAAACTCCAACTACAATTAATTGATATGAACAAGATGTAAACTACTGTAAAGGCGGCAAGATAACAAGACTTCAACCTTAAGATTTTGATTGGATAAAAGGAAAAGTTTCAGCGAACAAAAACTTGACCAAAACAGATCCTGAAATTTATGATTAAATTGATATAAACAAGATGATAAATTATATTGGAGGAAGTAAGAAAACAAGACTTCAACCTTAAGATACTGAGGACAAAAAGAGAAGCCTGAGGGTGCAGGAACTCTGTGCTTAGAAGATAAATTACTTGACTTTTGAAAAATCACTGAACTTAAAATATAATTTACATCAATACATTTAGAAATTACTTAAAAGCAGATTAAAAAACAAGACTTCAACCTCAAAAAAAACAAAAACAGAAGCTTTAGGGTGCAATAAACTTTGGGCCAAAAGCAAACTTCTCGTGAAACACTTGTTGGGTGAGCAGGTGAGAACAGTGCCGAGTCAAACACCGATACTGTGAGGCTAAAACCGTACGTGATTACCAGTGAAGAGACAGTATGATGGCTTGTGCTCCTTTTATAATATTTCCCTCATGTAAACTGATATAATAAAAGCTGAAGTGACACGTTTTAACCCATAGACTATATACATATTTCTCAAAGACAAAAATGGTGAAGGTAGAATTGACCAACTCTCAGATGGAGGCAGAGTCCGTGTATAGGATCGCTAACACCGCCCACTGAAGGAAAACACTGTACATCTGAAGGGGAAGACAAGTTAGGAGAAGCGGGAGGGAAATCGTGACCCTTTGGTAATTAAAGCTCGGTACCTGTAGGGGAAACGTCACTAAAACTTGTAGGAAGGAAATCGGTTCATACGTTTGACGACGCCAATGTGACTTGTTTTGTTTTTCTCTGTCTCGCTGTTCGGTTTCTTGGGAGACTTTTTAATATCTGAAAAACACAGACACTAACCCGCTCTGTTTATTGTCGTTTGGGTAGAATAATCACCAAAAATTACCCTTTATCTTCCTCTCAACCACACCAACCATAAGAGACAAGAGACCTTTGTATTATCTCCCTAGTCTGTAATATCAAAGAAAATGTATTTATGTTAAGGAGTAACTATGGAATAACTACAAACATTGGTGTTACCTTGCGTTGGGATGGTTAGGTGCTGGCTGTCTGATTGAAGGTACTGCTGCAGGCTCCCCAACATCGTAGAAATCTAGGAGTTTATTAATCAATTAGAACACAGAAACTCAACCAATGTCACGTATATATTGTCCCATAAGCTATGAATTCCCCAGATGCAATATTTCTTTAGATTTATAATAACACAGGTGACAGGCACTCACCGTAGAGGAGGTCGTCGTAGTAGTAGAAGAAGTCGGCGTCAGTGTAGTTCAGTTCAGAGTAGAAGGCGTCGTCGCTGATGATGGGAGCTTGGTGCACGGGGGCTTGGGTGGGTCTGGGTGCTGGTGCAGGGGCGACGGGCCTCCTGGTGGGGGACCTGTAAATATTGACCCTGTGCTCAGTTCCTGCACCACTCTACACTGAGCGACATAGAATACTGTATTTATCATCTTAAATGCTTATGAGAGTCAGTAATGTGATTAATTCTCTCTCCCTCTGTCTACCAACTGCTGAAGGGAACCTTGTGCCTAGAATACAGCACTTATAATACTACAGTACAGTACACTGCTAAATTAAAAATAAAGTGGATTAGTGATTTTATTCTATTACTTGTGAAGCTAATTCCTGGTTCTCTACTTGTGGCTCAGCGAGTCATGGTGGTATATAATAATTAAGTTCATCCCCAGGTTCTGAGTGGGCCTTCACCTTGCATGCAATCTGTAGCAACACTGCTTGAGTCTTCATTGTGCCATGCAATAAAAATTACTTGGAGTAAAAAAGTCCATATATATATATATATATATATATATATATATATATATATATATATATATATATATATATATATATATATATATATATATATATATATATATATATATATATATATATATATATATATATTGATGAATAACTAAATGATAAAGAAATAGTCAGCTTGTCGAGGTAAAGTTATTGTCCTTAGTTGTTCGTGTGAGTATCATCGTTTAGTTCTGCCCTCTAGGTGTAGGAGACAGGTCAGAGGTGAGATGTGAGGAGGATTACTTTAGTCTCTTTCTCATCCATGAACGTGTGTGATCAGTTTATATTTTAGTCGTGGAGTTCTATAGTGGACAGAAAAATGTAATAAGTATTACTGGTGTAGGAGGAGTCAAGTAGAGTCACAGTTTGGGCAGCTCTAAGCGATACCCATATGAGGGGAAGGCGAGCAGTGCTGCTTGATACCTGGGTGGTTGACGGCTGTCCTGGGTGTTGGGTAGGAGGTTTGAGGAGTCTGGGGTCTTGGAGGTACTCGTAGGCAGTCGGGACAACTCAGGATGATGTACGGTGCCGGGGATTTGGGGAGGAAGCGCTAGAGAGATACTTTGTTTAAATGAGGGACTTTGAAAGGAAGGGGATGTTGCTCTGACTTTAGAGAATGGCGGGAATGTCGAAAACCGAGATCTCTGAGGCTTAGGAGTGACGCTCTGCCTAACGGGGGTGCCAGGACGTCGGGTTCTCAAGGAACTTTGCTGATCTGTAATTTCGATGGAGTTCGATACAGGGAGCGTCTTCAGCGAGGTGGGTCGAGGCGCTACTGTAGTTGGACGGGATTCAAGAGACGCGGGACGTGGCGAAGTCAGACGAGGTTTTGGCGAGATGAAAAGGGGTTTTTGTGTGGTGGGCCGAGGTTTTTGTGTGGTGGGCCGAGGTTTTTGTGTGGTGGGCCGGGGTTTTTGTGTGGTGGGCCGGGGTTTTTGTGTGGTGGGCCGGGGTTTTTGTGTGGTGGGCCGGGTTTTGGGGGAGGTGATATGAGATGGTGTTGATGTGGGCCTAAGCCTTGTTGGCCGAGTGGGAGAAGGAAGGCTCTGTGTCAGTCGTGGGTAATTTTGAGTTTGTACTTGGGGCCTTATAGTTTGAGGAATAGGAGGGGAAAACTGAGGGGTGGAAGTAGGGATCACGGACTCTCTCTGGGGGAGACGAGGGGGCGTCTGTTTGATGGGGTTAGCAGGTGGTGAGGGAAGAGATGAGTGCGGCGTAGGTGAAACAACGTTGTCATGTGACGCTTTAAACGGGATTGTACCTACTGCCTCCTCAGGTACGAAGGGGTCAGAGTCTGGTCGTGGAACATATGCGTTCTCCACTTGGCTCTGTGGGGAGGGCTCGGATTGGGGCCTTGGCGGGAAAGACTCGGATTGGGGCCTTGGTGGGAAGGACTCAGATTGGGGCCTTGGTAGGAAAGACTCGGATTGGGGGCTTAGTGAGAAAGACTCAGATTGGGGCCTAGGTAGGAAAGACTCGGATTGGGGCCTTGGTAGGAAAGACTCGGATTGGGGGCTTGGTAACAAAGACTCAGATTGGGGCCTTGGTAGGAAAGACTCGGATTGGGGCCTTGGTAGGAAAGACTCGGATTGGGGGCTTGGTGACAAAGACTCAGATTGGGGTCTTGTTAAGAAAGACTCGGATTGGGGCCTTGGTAGGAAAGACTCGAATTGGGGCCTTGGTAGGAAAGACTCGGATTGGGGCCTTGGTGGGTGAGAATCAGGTCGGAGATGTGGTGGGAGGAAATTTACTTCGGTGTGAGGTTTGGGTGAGAAGGACTCGGAATGAGGCCTGTGAACGAAGGGTTTATTCTGGGGTCTTAGTCGCTGTTTCTGAGGTCGAATTTGTTGTTGAAACGGAGGTACTCGTGGCTGTTCACGGGCTGGGGAGGAGAAAGGCCGCGTGTCGAAGGTAGAGCCGAATGGATTATAGTTTTGAAAGTTCCCGAAAGGATTAGCAGGTGAGGATTGCCGAGTGAAGGTATTTGGTGGGCGGAAGGAGTTGGGTGGATGCCTGGGGGGAAACTGTGGCGCTTGGAATTGTTTTGGGAAGAACCCATGTTGGAAGAAGTTGCTCTGAGGAGCTGACTGCCTACGAGTGAGCCTCTGGTCAGGTCTGGGATCAGGGAAGTTAAGGTGGCTGCTCCTGGAGGAGACTGCTGCTGTTCCTACTGCTGCCGTTGCTGGGGACTGCTGTTGGTGGTGCTGTGGGCTGGTCCAGGGCTGCTGTGATTCCAGCTCAAACCTCGCTGTGGCGGCAGAGGGGAAGTTCGTCTCCAGGGAGGAGGAGGAGGAGGAGGAGGAGGAGAATTGTCCTAAGTCAGAGTCTGTAGCGTCGAGGACAGTCAGGTCTCGCCGGAGGAACTGGTTGGTGGGGGCCTCGCGCACTGGTCTCGATTTCTTCTCGAGAGACTGCAGCAGCTGCCACCTTCACACAAACACCCGCGTCAGGCTACAAGCTCAGCCCCTCGGCCCACTACCACCACCTGAGCTACTGGTGTGACCTTGACCTGGTCTTCACGATAATTTGGGTTAAACTCATCTAGATAACCTCTACTCTAGGCTCATACAATTCTAGAGGCATATGGATAGGCTTATGTTAGAATCTAGATTAAATTTACCTAAAGCTTATAAAATTCTAGAAACTAAGGATAAAATTTGGTTAGACCCATTCAGGTAACCTCTACTCTAGGCCTATACAATTCTAAAAGCCAAGTCTCTACACTAGAGGCCTAGGCACTGATGTAAATTGCAATAATTCTACCCTAGGCCTATAACGCTGATCTGCCTACTCTACTTTAGTTAAACTACGAGTCATAAGCCACTAACTCGTAGGTCTACCTCACACACACAAAGCAATTAGGAGCGAGGCTAGTTAGTGCGGTTAATATCTACGTCGTCACGGTAGTCCAGGTGTTGAGGACACAGGTGAGCACAAGACACTGTTGGTGGTAAAGGTAAATTGACCAACTTACTACAGAAGGAAGAGTTGAGGCAAGATACAAGTATCTGCCTTCAGCTGTCTGTGGGATCAGTTGTGTTTAGCTGTGACTGACTGACTGACTCAGATTCACTGACTAACTATAACTATCCTGTAACTCTTAACTAGCTAATAAACTAACTGTGAATGACTGACTGACTGACTGACTGACTAGCGGGTAGACTGGGCCGAGGGCTGATACACTCACCCATGGTAAATAAAAGGATACTGAAGGAAGTATCGCAACAGAACATAAATCAAGAAATACATTTATTTTGTCATGATGTCAACTTGTGGCTGTCATAATGGTTCATAACTTAACCCCTTTGAGGATGGTAACTTAACCCCTTTGAGGATGATAACTTAACCCCTTTGAGGATGATAACTTAACCCCTTTTGAAGATGACAACTTAATCTATAGAGTACAATGATAACTTGTTACCTTGAGTACTACAATTACTGTACTCGGGGTGGTCAAGTATACAGTACTAGAGAATGTTAAAAAAACGTTAAAAGTGTTAATGTTAATATAATGTTTTAGGTCTGCTTGGTTTAAGATAACTTAGAATCAATTCGTTTAACTGTTTTTAATGTTAACTAATTGTTAGTTTGGTTAGGTTAGGTCGACAACGTTCTAAGGAATCTTTTGGGGAAAATACTGGGAATTATTGGGAACTTTGGGGAATATTAGAATCATGATTTTGGAGGAATATTTGGAATCATGAATATCTTTGGGAATAGTGGGAATGATATGGAATATTGGGAATACTTGAAATTTGGGGAATTAAACTTAGGAATTAGAATCCTAAATCATGTTAGTCATTTGACGATAGGAATTATTATGGGAATATCTGTAATAATATGAGATATTTTCTTGTAATTATCTACCAAAAGTCTTAGATATGGTTTACCTCAAGAAGCAGAATAAACATATATGTCTTAATGCCTTATGACCTAAAACAAACTAGTAATATTTTAGTTATTGTTGTTGATTTATTCTCGTCTACGTTCGTGTATTATGAGTTACTATAGCAGCTAAATAACTCCCTCCAATTCCTTCTTAAAAGCTCATTATGTAGTGTATGAAGGAGGCACCCCGCGAGTTATTTAGACTTAATAAAGGTCTTATTGTATTCAGATTAGACTGATAAAAGGAACAAGTTTTTATTTTTTTTGGTATCTGACTTAGACTTGAGGATATACAAGTAGTGAAGGATTGTCCCCTTGAGGTATGCCTTCAGATTACTATTGGTCTAAACAACAATAAATATTTGGTCTTGTTGCCACGTTGGACAGAAGGATATAGTCTATTGAAGATTCGTCACTCTGGCAAGACAACAGAAGGATGTTCAGTGTGTGTGTGAGTGTTGGTCGTATAGTATAGTTAGTAGTCAAGGGTTTGTTTACAGGTTAAGGAAGACGAGAGACATCTGATGGAGACATGTGTCCCTCTTATAGTCTAATTAATTCATAGTTAATACCTAAGATTATATATAGTCAAGTTGTAATGCCTTTAAGAACAGTATAATTTAAGTTGGTTTTTTTTTTTGCTTAAACAAAAGATGGAAACTAAGGCTTTTTTTTAGGGTTGTGTTGAGTCTTATAAATTCAAGAGGGTGAGGCAGTACTTACGAGAAAGCCTGAGGGCGGAAAGTTGAAGGCTTAGCACTGTTGAGTCGCTGTGTCCGCCTTCTGGGTGGCTGCTGCTGCTGAGCCTGTCGACACGATACATTACCAAAAATAATTCAACCCCCCGAAAAAAAATATAATAAATAAATAAAAAAAATATATAAAACAAAGGAAGTCATTACAGGTTTGTGAACTTTCTGAGTTAAGTTAGGTTAGGTTAAGTTAGTACTTGAAAAACATTTTAGGCCTTGATACTTAGAATAACATTATGGTAAATAGCTGATAGTGAAGAAAAAATACAAAAAACTTCTACTAAAAAAATGGAGTTTGAAGGCTATTGTAAATATTGATCAGTTTAATAATGACAACAATCATTGGAGATAATCATCCGGTTAGTGGAAGACTTATAGTGTTTGAGATACAGGTTATAGTCTTGTGGGTAATAATGGAAATATATTTGTATAATTAATCTATCCGTATTGAAGGAGGATGACTAGACAAGTTTTATAATAGTATTGGAAGCTCTTGTGGTCAGGTTGGGAAAAGGTTTTAACGTGTGAAGCAACAATACAAACATGTAAACACGCCTTACAGAGAGAAGAAGTAATGAAACAACACCGATAAACATAATAATAAAGAAGATCGAGTAAAACAGAGACATAACAAAAAGCACAAAAGTAAAAGGCAAAATAAATTAGAATAAAAACTAAATAAATATGGTTGATAACATGACAAAAATAATGACAATAATTAAACAGAATCAACACAGAGAAAAGTAGGTAGATAATGTGTTGCTAACGAGGCGGTCACTCAGGGTAGAGGGGGCCACACACTGTGACTGTGGAGTAACTTGGGGCCTAGGAGTTGTTGAGGGTCCTGGGGGCTGCTGGGAACTAGGGGCTGTTGAGGTCACTTATTGTTGGGGTCTGGAGGCCGTTGGGTTCAGGGTAGGTTGGGTCGAGGGGTAAGGGAGGGGTAAGGGCTGGGGCAAGGGGTAAGGGCTGGGGCGAGGTGTATGGTTGGGGCGAGGAGTATGGCTGGGGCGAGGGGTAAGGGCTGGGGCGAGGGGTAAGGGCTGGGGCAGGGTAGGGCTGGGGCGGGGGTAGGGCTGGGGCGGGGGTAGGGCTAAAGGGCTGGGGAGGGGGTATGGGGGGGGCTGGGGCGGGGGTATGGCTGGGGCGAAGGGTAAGGGGTGGGTCGAGGAACAGGTTGGGTCCAAGAGGATGCCATGGTCTGAGGACTGATGACTCGAGAGGGTTGATTAGACCAAGGGAACCCTGACGGCCAGAGGTTGAAAGATCGTGGGATTCCTGGATCGTCCTTGACTTACATGAACAATTCTTTGAAGACATCTACCACACGACCAGTCTACCACACGACCAGAGAGACATCTAACTCCTTAACTGGAGGAAGGGTAAGGGAGGCCTGTGTTAATTAAGGGGTAAAGGGGGTGGGGTGGGGGGGCGGGTCTACTCACCGTGGAATCAAAGAAGGACTGCCGAGTGAAGTGGGAGGAGGAGGAGGTGAGGGACTGCTTGGGGTTGGGTTCTTGTCTGAAGAGAGACCTCTGGCTGTTGGAGCGATCCCCACCGTTGAACTGCCAGCGAGAAATACACTTTTTAAGGGGTGATGGAGGAGGAGGAAGTGTAGTGGGGAGTACTGGGGAGGGTGATGCGTTGAGGAGTTGATGGGGAGAATAATAGTAACGCCTTGGGGAGCGTATTGGTTGGGACAGTGGCATGATAGGAAGGAAGGAAGGACAAATAACATTACTGCAACAAAACAAAATATCTTGCCACTCGTCCATGAAAAGAATACAAGAGAACATTTATGACGAATAAGAAGAAACAAAAACAAAAAACAAAAACTAAAACAAAACAAAAAACTAAAACAAAACAAAAAACTAAAACAAAACAAAAAACTAAAATAAAACAAAAAACTAAAACAAAAAACAAAAAACTAAAACAAAACAAAAAACTAAAACAAAAAACAAAAAACTAAAACAAAACAAAAAACTAAAAAACAAACACAAATAAACACAGGAGACGGAAAATATACGAACATGATAAGTGAAATAAAGATAATGACGGTAGAATAACGAAGGGGTTTAACTCACGGGTCTGGAGGTGCGGTGATTCTGGGAAGAGCTGAAGGTGTGATCGAAGCTGCTGAGGATGAGAAAGGAGAGTCAGTCAGGTGTGTGTGTAACTCATTACCTGTTGTTCTACCTGGATCATTACCTGTTGCTCTACCTGCCTCATTACCTGTTGTTCTAACTGGATCATTACCTGTTGCTCTACCTGCCTCATTACCTGTTGTTCTACCTGGATCATTACCTGTTGTTCTACCTGCCTCATTACCTGTTGTTCTACCTGGATCATTACCTGTTGCTCTACCTGGATCATTACCTGTTGTTCTACCTGGATCATTACCTGTTGTTCTACCTGGCTCATTACCTCCTGCTCTACCTGGCTCATTACCTCCTGCTCTACCTGGCTCATTACCTCCTGCTCTACCTGGCTCATTACCTGTTGCTCTACCTGCCTCATTACCTGTTGCTCTACCTGCCTCATTACCTGTTGTTCTACCTGCCTCATTACCTGTTGTTCTACCTGCCTCATTACCTGTTGTTCTACCTGCCTCATTACCTGTTGTTCTACCTGGATCATTACCTGTTGCTCTACCTGCCTCATTACCTGTTGTTCTACCTGGATCATTACCTGTTGCTCTACCTGCCTCATTACCTGTTGTTCTACCTGGATCATTACCTGTTGCTCTACCTGCCTCATTACCTGTTGTTCTACCTGGATCATTACCTGTTGCTCTATCTGCCTCATTACCTGTTGCTCTACCTGCCTCATTACCTGTTGTTCTACCTGCCTCATTACCTGTTGCTCTACCTGGCTCATTACCTGTTGCTCTACCTGGATGATTACCTGATGTTCTACCTGCCTCATTACCTGTTGCTCTACCTGCCTCATTACCTGTTGTTTTAACTGGCTCATTACCTCCTGTTCTACCTGGCTCATTACCTGTTGCTCTAACTGGCTCATTACCTCCTGCTCTACCTGGCTCACTACCTACTGTATCTACACATCATATTACCTGACTAACTATCTCTGCTAATTGTAATAGGTAATACCTGTGTTAATTACTGTGGCATTTACCTGTGTTAACCCTTCTGGTGGATAAGATTAGACACCCTGGCATAACTCACCTGATGATTGGGTTAAGTTAGGTTTTAAATTAACTTATACCAAGGTGAAAATTGTTTTGCTTATATGACTGTTGTATTTTCTTTATGACTGTTGTATTTTAAGGTCATATTGTATTTTATTATTGTATGGGATGAAAAAGAAAAATACAGAAATATCTTATAATAAAATGGGGGGGGGTTACAAGACTAGTGTAAAAGTGATACGAAAAAATCTACTCTCTCTCTCTCTCTAAATTTTGTCATCATACATCTCGATCCAAAGCATTAACACTGAAGGAGAGGACCTACCCGACGAAGGAGGTAGAAGGAGAGGACCTACCCGACGAAGGAGATTGATGACTTACCCGACGGAGGGGGTGAGGGCCTCGGTGGCGGGTCTGGTGTTCTGGTTACGCTGGTTAGTGGTCTGGGCCGTTGAGGAGCCTGAGCTCGCCTTGGTAGGATTGCAATCTACGTTACGTGGCCAGTCGCACGTCTCAAGCTCGTGGCTGTGGGGGAGGCCATGGTGGTGATAATGGTGGTGGTGATGGTTGTAGTGGTGGTGATGATGATGGTGGGGTGGTGGTGGTGATGATGGTGGGGGTGGTGGTGGTGGGTGGTGGTGGTGATGTGGGTGGTGGTGGTGGTGGTGATGGTGGGGTGGTGGTGGTGGTGATGGTGGGGGTGGTGGTGGTGATGAGGTGGTGGTGATGGGTGGGTGGTGGTGATGATGGTGGGGTGATGATGATGGTGGGGGTGATGATGATGATGGTGGGGTGGTGGTGATGATGATGGTGGGGTGGTGGTGGTGGATGATGGTGGTTGGTTGTGGTGGTGGTGATGGTGGTTGTAGTGGTGGTGGTGATGGGGGGGTTGTAGTGGTGGTGGTGATGGTGTTGATGGTGATGATGGTGGTGGCAATGTCCAAAACGATATTGATATTAACAGTAATTTTAACTGATATATTATTATTATTGTCAATTATATATCATCGTTATATGACAGTTTATCAACATGTACAGTACATGCCAAAACACCTTGTGTACAGGCAAACTACCGAGTCACATCTTGCTCACAGGTTAAACAAGACAGCACAAGGACCTACCTGTAGACGAGTCCTCCGGTGCAAGACTCGTGGAGGGCGCCGCCGAAGACGCATACGTAGTACTGAGTACAATCCGTCGGGTGCGGGTAGTAGCCGAAGTCCTGCGGGCAGTTGAAGGAAGCCACTTCCGAATTGTCGGCCTGGAGGCGCTGACGCCGTCGGCCGCCGCTGAGTGACCGCTGCTGGCATACTGCGAGTCCTGCAAGGTGAAGGAGAGGCATGAGGGAAAGTCCTGCAAGGTGAGGGAGAGTCGTGAGGGAGAGAACTGAAATGTGAGGGAGAGAACTGAAGTGTGAGGGAGAGAACTGAAGTGTGAGGGAGGGAGGGAGGGAGAGGTCAAGAGAGTGTGTGGGAATGAGGGTTAATATGTGAGGAAGGAGGATAAAGGGGGTATGAAGGAGTAAGGGAGAGATCAATGTAGAGTGAGAGAAGGAGGGAGGAAGACATTTAACGAGTAGGATTCGAGATCACGAAGCTGGGTGTTAGGGAAGAGAAGTATGTGTGTGTGACCATCACCAGACCATCCACTTCCCTCAACCAACCATCCATCTACACCATCCACCTCCTTCCCAACCATCCATTCATATCATCCACCTCCTCCCTCAACCAAACATCCATCTACACCATCCACCTCTCTCAATCATCCATCTACACCATCCACCTCTCTCAACCATCCATCCACACCATCCGTTAAACGAGTCAACCGAAGCTCTCCGACGGCCGTTAAGGGAATAACAAGAGTGTTAAAACCAGGGTCGGCGTGTGGAATGACCCAGCTCACTCCCCACTACGGCCCTAATGAGATATTCTTCCTATTATATAATGAATTGGTTGACTTTCACTACAGCGTTACATTATGGTGATAAACCTTTCATTATTATGTATTGATGCTGTATGGTGTTAATTTATATAGGTATCCAAGTATGTTATTTATGTATACATTTCTGATAATATAAACCAAGTATGTTTTTTATTTAGATATATTTACGTATGTTATTTATTATATATATTTATGTATGTCACTAATATATATATGATTAGGTATTGTTATGTTATTAATTTATATATACTCAAGAGATGTCGATAATATATAAATTCTTATCCGCCGTAACTTATATTTCTTGACGTTTGATTTATGTGATGAGAGAAGAAATAATCGTGTTCATTATTAAAGGAATTTGAAAAGGCGGTTGCATAACGGACGCTAACGGTTTCAACGGTCACTTTCTCCTGTGATTTTCATGGTTAAGAGATAGATAACCCTACATTTTTAAACTTTTAAAGTTAAGGAATATGAAACAATCGACATAAAATAAACTTACGGACACTAACGGTTTTAACGGTTACTTTCTCCTCTGATCTTCATGAGTAAGAGGTGAAACAGTTTTGCCCTTTTATGTTGAAGTTGTGAAGCTTTTGGAGCAGCCAACGAATAACGAATTTAAACAGACACTAACGGTCTTAACGGTTACTTTCCCCGCTGATCTTCATAACTGAAATATGACAACTTTTTTACATTAAAAATATTGCAAAATTTGAAATGCCCAAACCATAACGAAAATAACGGATGTTAATGGTCAATATATCCTTTGAAATTCAGATCCTGAGAATACATCACCGTTACACTTTGAATTTAAATTCTGCCTGATTCGAAACAACTAGCCCTAATGAACATAAATCTATTTTTCCATATACAGAACGTAAAGACCTTGCATTTCTAAATATAAAATATACCGGATCTAAACCAGCCAGCGTCTAACGAACTTAACGGTCAATAACGGTCACTTTCTCTTCTGCGACCTTCCCCTTTTTTTCGCTCTTAGTAAACTGGGGCCTTACACAACACACCAAGATAAACACCACAACTGGATTATGGCGGGAGGGTGAGGGAGGCCTGGAGGGTGCGAGAGGCCAGGAGGGTGAGGGAGGCCTGGAGGGGGAGGAAGATCTGGAGGGTGAGGAAGACTAGGAGGTTGAGGGAGGCCAGGAGTTTCAGGGAGGCCAGGAGTTTCAGGGAGGCCAGAAGATTGAGGAAGGCCAGAAGGGTGAGGAAGACCTGGAGGGTGAGGAAGACTAGGAGGTTGAGGGAGGCCAGGAGTTTCAGGGAGGCCAGAAGGTTGAGGAAGATCTGGAGGCTGAAGGAGGCCAGGAGGGTGAGGGAGGCCTGGAGGATGAGGGAGGTCAGGAGGTTGAGGGAGGCCAGACTATAGTGTTGTGTTCGTCTGTAATGGATGACAATAACCAGAAAATATGATTCACTTAGACCACCCCAAAAAAAAAAATCCCATTATAAGAGTGAAAATGTTAACCTGGATAAGTGATAAATACGAGATATGATTTAATAGTTGAGATAAGACTGCCAAGGTGATCTGAATATGACGTTAAGAATACAAGACTACACCTCCTGACGACCAACCTGCTTCAAGGTGAACATCTCACCTGTGCCATTAGAAACTTTTAGGATCACCTGATAATTAACCAACCTAGTTTATTTTACCTCATGATGAAAAGACCTAACCTAACCTAACCTAACCTAACCTAACCTAACCTAACCTAACCTAACCTAACCCAACGATATCCAACTCTAACCTAACCTACCCCTCCCCCCCCAAGGTGTTTAATCATCAGGTAAGGTGGTCTAATCTCTCAGGTGATCCAGACTTTGTATATATGAGTCACTAAACAGGTGAATTAATTAATTAGTGTTGTTTTGGGCTGTACTTTATAGAGGAGAGAAGTGAGAGAGGAGAGAAGTGAGAGAGGAGAGAAGTGAGAGAGGAGAGAAGTGAGAGAGGAGAGAAGTGAGAGAGGAGAGAAGTGAGAGAGGAGAGAAGTGAGAGAGGAGAGAAAGGAGAGAAGTGAGAGAGGAGAGAAGTGAGAAGTTTAAGATATGGACTCGGGGTATCGTATCTTCTTGGAGTTAATGTCTCGTGTGTAGGTTAAGTTGTGTCATGGTTAAAGATAATGTGACATTAACTAAACCAAATCTCTCTCTCTCTCTCTCTCTCTCTCTCTCTCTCTCTAACACTGGGAGTCTCTGGGTGTACAAGATACAGCAGAGACACAGTGTTATCGGTACCTGGATGTGTCTCGTGTCTCCTTTTCCTTGTACGAGTTAGTGTCCCGTTGGTGCTGTAGCGAGCTGGTGGTACACACACACACACACACACACACACACACTGAAGGACGAGTTTGCACATTCACACAAGCAAACAAACACCACTTTGTCTCATAAAATAAAAAAACTGCTGCACACACACACACACACACACACACAGAGGGAGAACACACACGCACACACTACAAAGGCGTGTTTCATAAATAAACATAAATGTCGGGGTTGTCATCAGATAAACATAGTATCGTGCGGCAGCCAACACGGCTCAGAAGGGAAAAAATATCGTACCTAATATTCTCGTGACTGCCCAAGGGAAGAACATCAAATGTATCTCACCCTGATTATTTCCTCCTCCCTTACATCCGAAGAGAGGGAGAGGAAAGGAATGAGAAGGTGTACCTCACCTTCCCGTGAACGTACATCATCGTCATCATCATCTATCCCTTCTTCTTCCCTCCCGCCCCTCCTCCTTTTCCCTTCTTTCGTCTTCCTAGTCCCCTCCCTTTCCTATACCATTCCCTTCTCCTCATCTTTCTTCCCCATCGCTTTATCTTCTCCCCTTCCCTTCATTTTCTCCATCCTTCTCCCCATCCCATCTCCCTCCCATCTCCCCCACGCGCGTCACATAATCACAGGTTGGAGGCCGCCCTTGAAGTGGGTCTTAACTCGGCACATTTAGGAGAAAAACTGGAGGTTGTGTCTTTTTATTCTTCCGGAGGATGTGAACGATGCCGCCCGAGGTGTTGATCTGAGGTGTACAAGGTCGTGGGAGTCGAGTGTGGAGGTAGAGTCGAGTGTGGAGGTAGAGTCGAGTGTGGAGGTAGAGTCGAGTGTGGAGGTAGAGTCGAGTGTGGAGGTACATTCGAGATAGAGAGGCGTCGAGTGTGGAGGTACAGTCGAGTGTGTTATTATGTTATTAAAGATTCGATTGATTACTGTCGACTGAAATGTTAAGAGACGATAGAGTACCGTCGATTGCTCGCGTAGAGTCTCGATAGAGCGGCGTCGATTCTATTGCTGAAGTCGATAGAGTAGATTAGATAGAGTCAGGGTTATATTAAAGGGGAAAATCTTCTTCCTTCGAGCTCAGGGGGGTGAGACGACCTCCTTTGAGCAACATGCATGAAAAAATGAGAGAAATCTGCCCCTTTTGAGCACTAGGGGGTAAATATCCTCCCTTTGAGCTCCAGGGGGGTGAAGGAAAAGGGGGTAAATCCTTTCTCTAAGCACTAAGGGGTGAATCTGCCCACTCTGAGCGCCAGGGGGTGAAGGGGAAAGGGGGCTGGGTGACCCCCTCCTTACCCCCCCCTGGGTTGGAGCACCACGGTCACACCCACCCAACAAAAACACCCACTGTGGGATCTGAACACTTTCACTCTCGCACTGTAAGCTTCAAGTTCTCACGGGCCGCGCACTCCTACTCCCACGCCCTCCACGCCTCTTCCACGCCCTCCATACCTCTTCCACACCACCTCCACACCTCTTCCACGTGCTCACTCTTCCACGCCCTCCATACCTCTTCCACACCACCTCCACACCTCTTCTACGTCCTCCATACCTCTTCCACGCCCTCCACGCCTTTTCCACGCCGTATGCTGCCCCATGCCTCCTGTCCCCATCCCTCTTCCACGCCTCCTACACGCCCCCTCCCTCTTCCACGCCTCCTACAGGGTTGTTTCTAGGGACACACGCCACCCACTCCTCCACTATACGCTCACTCTCAAATACACACTTCACGCCCACGCACGCCTTCTTGTCTTGCACGCCTCCACGCCCACTATCTCCCACGCCACCGTCTTACGCTTGAGTGTAAGTGTTGATGATAAGTGTATCCTTACATCTTATTGCTCTTGTTGAATCGATGTTGATTTTGTGTAATCCTTTGAGAGTCGTATATTGTTGTTGTTGTTGTTGGTGGTGGTGGTGGTGGTGTTGTTGTTGTTGTAGTTATAGTAATGCTGTTGTTATTATTATTAAAGCAGAAAAAAGAGAAATAAGGAGACATAAATATGAGAAAAATATAACGAAAATATAAATAAACACAAAAAAACAAATAAATAATATATACAAAATTACTTAAAACAGAATATAAGAAATTTAATC